GCAGTGATCTGATCAGTCGCCGCCATATCATACTCGGCCTTGACGTTTCCCCACAGGAACCGTTCTTGGATCATCAAGTGGCATTCACTGTTACTTTTGTAAACCAGACAGGTCATGTACACACTGTAACAGTGGCTGGTATGGATCTGGATGCACACACCCACACCCACCCACGCAACCACGCACCCACGCACGCACGCACGCGCATCGCACGCACGCACGCACGCACGCACGCACGCACGCACGCACAATATGCATACACACATACACACATACACAATGTCCACCGAAGCCTGTCCTGGAGCTGTCACAAAACCACAGGCTTCTGCAAGTCCTGTCTAGAAGGAACGTATGCGACTTCTGTCAAGGCAAATGTTCTCCGAACTGTAATGGCGGCAGATTGTGCAATCGTAGGGATGGAGACTGTTCACAGGGATGTCAGAAAGGTTTCCATGGTAGTAGATGTACTGTGATGTGTGGACACTGTGTAGATGGAGCTTGTGAGAGACTTTCAGGTAGCTGTATTGCCGGGTGTACGGACGGATGGACAGGACAGACATGCAGTGAAGCGTGCAGGGCTGGATGTATCAAATGTACAACGCCCAACGCGTGTGTGCTGTGTGACAGAGACCTCCAAGGGCCATTTTGTAATGTAACAAAGACGATGACTATCTTTCCACCGTCTCCACCAGCCAAAAACCACCCTTTGAATGATTCAGACATTGCAATAAAAGTAAGTATAAATGTACATACCAGGATCAATAACCCCGTGTGAAGTTGTTTGTCTTTTAGGAGTGCTTCCCTGACACCAACATTACTTTGAGCTGGTAGAAAGCGCATCCAAAACAATATATTAATATGCTCTTACCCCTTACACCTGATTGAACAGTCAGGGACCACTTTTCATCGAAGAAATATATAACAACTCCTTACTACTATGTACTAGTATTTTGTTTCTGAAACGACAGAAATCTCGATTTACAACATGATATAGACTTGCATAGGCTGTATTGGATATATTTCTGGCAGGGGTTGTATGCCAGACTACAGGATTTTGTGTTTATATTTTTGTGTGAAAGACACATTGTAATCTCGTCGATTTCGTATGCATATTTGTATTTTGGTATTTCAAATATTTCAAATACGGAACATGTGAATCTTCTAGGATATCAGGGGCGGTGGGGTAGCCTTGTGATTAAAGCTTTCGTTAGTCAAGCCGAAGACAAGTTCGATTCTAGACATTAGTACAATGTGTGAAGCCCATTTCTGGTGTCCCCAGCCGCGATATCGATGGAATGTTGCTAAAAGCGGCATAAAACTAAACTTACTCACTCACTCTATATTAACATCCACCTGTTTGTTACAGTAACTCAGTATTGTTTAACATATTTCTTTATATTTACAGCTGATGTGGAGTCTGGAGCAGCTGTTGGCATTTCCTTGGGAATAATATTCTCAGTTCTCATTCTCCTCCTCATTATATGCGTATTGGTATACACGGACGGAATTAAAAAAATGTAAGTCTTAGGACTGACTAAGAACTTATGAAGGGCACCATATGCGTCGAAGTGGTTCAATTTCCGACATCTGTCCCCATTAAGAAGTAAGTCCGTTATGCTACACTCGACAAAATGGGACTTTATCCTACAGAATGATACCACATGTAACGACTGGCTACACTACAATGTAATTTTTTTATGAGTTACAATAGGTATTAGTTTACAGTGGTTCCAATACAGAATACTACACCATATCTTACCTGTTAATAATAGGATATGCGGATTGCAATAGTAGAAGTTTCTTCACCACGGACGTAGAAACAATCACTCAGGTATTCTGTGACTGCATCAAGGTGCATCTTATCTGGAAATTACTTGAAATATGGCTTTACGACGAAATAGATACAAAACTTGACAATACAGACACACGCAATACTTGGTTATCCAAGCAGAAACAATACTCCAATCAACATTATCATAATTTTTTCAAAACGTGATATTCAAATGGATTCACAAACCTATGCCACCATTCCATACTTTCCAGAATGAAGTAAAACAATACTACATGATCACTAAATGTTCCCCAGCAATAGATTTGTAATTGAGGTCGGAATCCACACGTTTCCACTCTAGTGCTGTTCCGTATATACAGAGACAGATGCTATTTCAAATCAGCCAGGGGTCTTTGTTACGTGTTTTAATGTTAACTGATGATAAATGCAATGACAGAATAGAATAAAAATAATCTATTAAAAATAGTAACAGATGTAAACTCTAATATCTTCAGCCGTCGAGTGTTTGATCCGGCATATAAGACAAATCGCAAACCCCATCAGGAACCTCTGTATCACCACGATGAATTAGGTAGTCCAACTATCAGCAGAAGTCATCTGAAACGTAAGTACTTGCCTTGGCTTTTCGTGTGCTTGTGAAGGATGTCATTGGTGGAGTAAGCCACGCTCACAGATGATATAGTCCCAATTGTACACTGGACACTGTTTTAGCAGATTATGGGAAAATCTTTTGTCGGTGTTGCTCGTACAGTATTGACGATTATGTTCCTAACATGAGTCAATACACTGTTTTGAGATCAAACAATCTACTTTCACCCGTATCACCTCTATTATACACCGGTTATGAATATTTAACAGTATCATATTTGCCTTGACAAAACACGTGGTAACGGCAACTTGCGTTGGATGTTCTTGTAGTAATATGTTTCGAATTATGAAAGCAATTAAATAACGATGTGTATTTGGGTTTTGTTTGTACATGTGTGTTTTTATTGTTGACAGTAAATGAACATACAGACAGAAAATAGAGTGAAGGGCATTTCTTGAGGAGATAATATGGACCATTTGAGGTAAACAACGAAAGGCTTGACCATGAAGACGGACCTCAAAATAGTCGCACACGTGTGAGTGGCGGTTGTCACAGGTAGAACAGACCATACTGGCCCTTTTCGTGAACACCTGGTGTCATCATGGATTTCCACAAACCAATGGGTATGTTTATATGTATATATATATATATATACGCACAAAATGTCCAAAGTAGTACAGGTGTTCAGTCATAAATATTGCATAGATAAATAAAAACAGAATGCCTTTTTCTCCAACATGTTTCGTTCTTTACTCTTCAGGGAGATTGTAGCGGTTACAGTATGACGTCATTACATATATATTGTGACGTCATAATAGGGACAACATTCTAGAGCGACAAGGTCACAGCTTGCAATGGTTTAACATTGGTTTGTACTTGTCTATGAAGTAGTGTTCTTTTAAAATTCGTTTTACTTTGTCCGAATTTTGAACTTGATAAAAGGAAATATTGTAAATTTAACATCGTTTCCTTTCGCACAGACATCTAGATGTTCACTCAGTGGGATACATCGGGTTTCAGGACACTTTATTTGTTGTTTGTGGACACGAACCCGGGCTCTTAAATTTTCTGATTGACCAATATACTGTTCATTACAGCCTGTGCATGTTATGACATATATTATGTTTTGCAAGAGCAGTCAAAATTCTGTTTTACATAGAATTCTCCGTGTCTCGTGAAAGTTACAGAGTGTCCTTCAACAATATGTCGACACGTTCCACAGTTACCTCTGTTGCATCTAGACACAGTAGGATTTGATAAATTCTGTTTCTTTGAAATAAATTTGGCTTTTGTTAGTATCTTTTTAAGATTCTGATTTTGTCTTTTGCTATTTATTATTTTTTCTAGATTTCAGCATAGATTTCAGTTTTCATCTTGTTCTAAGATGCACATATTTGTTTTTATGTTCTGGAACACATTTGGGTTCAATGGATTATAAGTAGATACAAAAGCAATTACTTTTTCCTCATTGGTTTGTTTCATCGTTCCTGTCAAAAGATCGTCTCTATTAAGCTGTAAAGCTTTATATATTCCGTCTTCAACAAGAGATTTTGGATATTCCCGTAATAGTAAAAACGTCCTAAGTTCATTCAGTCTTTGATTGCGGGTGTCTTGGTTTGAAACTATTGTACATATTCTTCGTGCCAGGTTATATGGAAGACTTCTTTTGGTGTGGCTCGGATGGCAAGATTTGAAGTTTAAATATTGTTTCGTATCTGTAGGTTTGTAGAAGATATCTGTGTCCAATTTCCGCCCCGATTTGATGACCATTGTGTCTAAGAAAGCTGTTTTAAAAGGTAATATTTTCTTTTTTGACGATAAGTACTATAAACAGATTAAAGGAACAGCCATGGGAACCAAAATGGCGCCGACTTATGCGACGCTTGTCTTAGGATATCTGGAGGAAAAGTTCAAGCATAAAATCAGTCAAATTCTTGGAGAGGATGTTGCCCATTATTTCATGGAAAATTGGAAAAGATTTCTAGACGACTGCTTCATAATTTGGCCATTTTCTGAGGAGAAACTAAATACATTTTACGAACTATTAAATAGCATGGACGAAAATCTTGTTTTCACTATGGAGGCAGATCAAACTAAAACAGCTTTCTTAGACAAAATGGTCATCAAATCGGGGCGGAAATTGGACACAGATATCTTCTACAAACCTACAGATACGAAACAATATTTAAACTTCAAATCTTGCCATCCGAGCCACACCAAAAGAAGTCTTCCATATAACCTGGCACGAAGAATATGTACAATAGTTTCAAACCAAGACACCCGCAATCAAAGACTGAATGAACTTAGGACGTTTTTACTATTACGGGAATATCCAAAATCTCTTGTTGAAGATTTGAATATATAAAGCTTTACAGCTTAATAGAGACGATCTTTTGACAGGAACGATGAAACAAACCAATGAGGAAAAGTAATTGCTTTTGTATCTACTTATAATCCATTGAACCCAAAATGTGTTCCAGAACATAAAAACAAATATGTGCATCTTAGAACAAGATGAAAACTGAAATCTATGCTGAAATCTAGAAAAATAATAAATAGCAAAAGACAAAATCAGAATCTTAAAAAGATACTAACAAAAGCCAAATTTATTTCAAAGAAACAGAATTTATCAAATCCTACTGTGTCTAGATGCAACAGAGGTAACTGTGGAACGTGTCGACATATTGTTGAAGGACACTCTGTAACTTTCACGAGACACGGAGAATTCTATGTAAAACAGAATTTTGACTGCTCTTGCAAAAACATAATATATGTCATAACATGCACAGGCTGTAATGAACAGTATATTGGTCAATCAGAAAATTTAAGAGCCCGGGTTCGTGTCCACAAACAACAAATAAAGTGTCCTGAAACCCGATGTATCCCACTGAGTGAACATCTAGATGTCTGTGCGAAAGGAAACGATGTTAAATTTACAATATTTCCTTTTTATCAAGTTCAAAATTCGGACAAAGTAAAACGAATTTTAAAAGAACACTACTTCATAGACAAGTACAAACCAATGTTAAACCATTGCAAGCTGTGACCTTGTCGCTCTAGAATGTTGTCCCTATTATGACGTCACAATATATATGTAATGACGTCATACTGTAACCGCTACAATCTCCCCTGAAGAGTAAAGAACGAAACATGTTGGAGAAAAAGGCATTCTGTTTTTATTTATCTATGCAATATATATATATATATATGTTTACAGTCTCTTACAGTCTTACAGTAGTATCCCCCCCACTCTCTCTCTCTCTCTCTCTCTCTCTCTCTCTGTGTGAGAGTGAGAATTATTACCTTTCTAAATAAATGACATAATACAAAACTCAGGTGTGTCCTTTTGTAATAGTCATAAACATTCTGTCAGTTCTGATCATGTTTGACATGATCGGTCAACCTCGCCTGAATGGTGAGTTGAAAACTGTAAGTGCACGACTTGACTGTAACTGTTATTTCAACAGTGAAAGTTTTCACTGGAAATACAAAGCTGAACCATGCACACTAGTCGTTGATAGCATGAACATCAATTAATGCCTAGGGTCACGATGATACACAGTTAGACATAATCTGAGCAAGTTTGGGAAGCTTAGTTCTAAGAATATCATGTTGGAAGCCACATGACAACTCCGTTGGTCGGGATTCTTAATGATTGAGCCTCTTTGTCGTGAATGTCGATATAGAGAAATATGATGAATGTAATCACAGTATATGAAGTACACCGAAACAGAAATCGAGCACAATGGGGCAATTGATAAGAGATTGTCATCGTTTACAGAAAACTTTGGTTTTAAGCTGAATATAACACATACATAGTTGCGATTTATATGAAGATTGACTTAACATTGATCCTGAGCAACTCATGCATGTCATAACAGACGACTAACTTTATCAGATGGTTATCACCTTATCACATGTTGACTATGTTGTCTATGTTGTCTGTGTTGTCCATGTTGTCCATGTTGTCCATGTTGTCTGTGTTGTCCATTTTGTCCATATTGTCCATATTGTCCTTGTTGTACATGTTGTCTATGTTGTCTATGTTGTCTGTGTTGTCCATGTTGTCCATGTTGTCCATGTTGTCCATATTGTCCATATTGTCCATGTTGTCCATGTTGTACATGTTGTCCATGTTGTCTATGTTGTCTGTGTTGTCCATGTTGTCCATGTTGTCTGTGTTGTCCATGTTGTCTATGTTGTCAGTGTTGTCTGTGTTGTCCATGTTGTCCATGTTGTCTATGTTGTCCGTGTTGTACATGTTGTCCATGTTGTCTGTGTTGTCCATGTTGTCCATGTTGTCTGTGTTGTCCATTTTGTCCATATTGTCCATATTGTCCTTGTTGTACATGTTGTCTATGTTGTCTATGTTGTCTGTGTTGTCCATGTTGTCCATGTTGTCCATGTTGTCCATATTGTCCATATTGTCCATGTTGTCCATGTTGTACATGTTGTCCATGTTGTCTATGTTGTCTGTGTTGTCCATGTTGTCCATGTTGTCTGTGTTGTCCATGTTGTCTATGTTGTCAGTGTTGTCTGTGTTGTCCATGTTGTACATGTTGTCTATGTTGTCCATGTTGTACATGTTGTCCATGTTGTCTGTGTTGTCCATGTTGTCCATGTTGTCTGTGTTGTCTATGTTGTCTATGTTGTCTATGTTGTCTATGTTGTCTATGTTGTCTGTGTTGTCCATGTTGTCCATGTTGTCTGTGTCGTCCATGTTGTCCATATTGTCCATATTGTCAGTGTTGTCCATGTTGTACATGTTGTCCATGTTGTCTATGTTGTCTGTGTTGTCCATGTTGTCCATGTTGTCTGTGTTGTCCATGTTGTCCGTGTTGTCCATGTTGTACATGTTGTCTATGTTGTCTGTGTTGTCCATGTTGTCCATGTTGTCTATGTTGTCCATGTTGTCCGTGTTGTCCATGTTGTGTGTGTCGTCCATGTTGTCCATGTTGTGTGTGTTGTCCATGTTGTCCGTGTTGTGTGTGTTGTGTGTGTTGTCCGTGTTGTCCATTTTGTGTGTGTTGTTCTTGTTGTCTGTGTTGTCCATGTTGTCAGTGTTGTCTATATTGTGTTGTCAATGTTGTGAGTGTTGTCCATATTGTGTTGTTCTTGTTGTTCATGTTGTCAGTGTTGTCTATGTTGTCCATGTTGTCAGTGTTGTCCATGTTGTCTGTGTTGTCCATGTTGTCAGTGTTGTTTATATTGTGTTGTTCTTGTTGTCCATGTTGTCAGTGTTGTCCATGCTGCCATTGTTGTCTGAGTTCACAATACCAGTTATCAAGGTCAGAGGCATTGTTTGGTCGTATTCAGTATTATTGCCCCTGATACAACCTTTGGCCTGAACCCTCAGGGCAAGTAGCTATGATAAACAAGCTACCATATGATTGCAGGATTCCCCCTACCTGGAATCATGGATAGATGCCTCAATTTCAACGAGGTGAACAAAACATGTGACTGTTGTCGCAGTGGGTGGACGGGACAGGACTGTAGGACAGAATGCCCCAACTGTGGAAGTAACTATGCGAACCACAAATGTAAGACATTCTGCCAGAATGCGCCATATTATGGTACCTTGTGTAACATACCATGCCCTGCAGCGTGTCTTCGTAATGGACAATGTAATGAAAGCTGCGCTACTCACAAGGAATCTACAAAAGGTATAGTAACTAAGATTTGTCAGTGATCTTTTCCCACGCTTTCATAGATTAAAAAAGGATTATATCAGTTTAAACAGTGTAAAAGTTCTAATTTCTAACCTAAATACGATCCGAATTTCTCAAACCTACACTGTATTGTAAGCAAACTAATTCTCTGCATACCCTTACCAGTGTGATGGCCGTCTTAGAATTAACTTGTGCTCCAACTTAAATCCAAAATTTCAAGTATTTAAAAATGTTTCAATGCAGATATTAATCAAGGCCGTGATGATTCTGAAGCAACAGGGACTGGTGCATCCTCACAGAGTTTAGGTAACATTGCAGATATTATATATTGCTACCTCCCATCGGGTGCTGTTCCGTCCTCACGGGGTCGGTTATACCAATGTATGAAATATGCCAAAAACCTAGCCAGACATCAGGGCTGGTAACTTCAAAATGTTACCAGCCCAAAATGGATTTAACCGGATCAGACACCAAGACATGGTGAATTTACTCAGATGTATGGAATATCTAAAAAAAATTACCAGGCCATCGGGCTGGCTAGCTGTAAATTTTGACCGTCCGTAGGAAATCTAGCCCGTCTCGGTCGGTCGGACGTGCCTTATTTCATACACTGGTTTTACTGTAGATATTATATACTGACACGTTCCGTCAGGTGCTGTTCCGTCCTCACTGGGTCGGTTACACAGTTGATATTATATACTGACACCTTCCATCAGGTGCTGTTCCGTCCTCACTGGGTCGGTTACACTGTAGATATTATAAACTGCTACCTATCATCAGGTGCTGTTCAGTCCTCTCTGGGTTGGTTACACTGTAGATATTATAAACTGCTACCTATAATCAGGTGCTGTTCCGTCCTTTCTGGGTCGGTTATACAGTACAGACAGCATCCAAAAAGCTCTTCGTCCCTAATGGGTTGGTTACACTGCACATACTGTACATCGAAGCATGCAAAATGCTGTTCGTCCTCATTGGATTGGTTACACTGTATCTGATATATAATCATTAAATGGTAGCTTCTAAAAAGCCTTCCGTCCTCACTGGTTTGGTTACACTGTAGATACTATGTTATGGTGGCTTCCAAAAGGCTGTTCGTCCTCACTGGGTTGGTTACACCGTAGATACTTAAAACTGACAGCTTCCAACAAGCACTGTTACATCCGTCCTCGCTAGGGTGGTTACACTGTAGATATTATACATTGGTAGCTTCCTGTAAGCTGTTCGTCCTCAATAGAAACCACGGATAGAAGCATTTAAACTGTTATTTTGTACCTTTTACATAACCACAAACAAATGTTTAGGATCTGTTACTGATTATGAAAATAATCACAATTACAAAGATTCATACACAAAATATTATTATAACAAGCTGTCTGTCTTGCAGGGTCCAGTAGTCGTACGACTGACGGCGCTCTCGTTACTATGGCAGTGTGTGCTGTTTTGTTTGTAGCTCGCAAGTATGGAGTGCACAAAATGTGCAGGAAATGGTAATTTCATTATTTCAAAGTCTTCATACCCAGCTTCAACCCTTATGAAACCAGCTGAAGGATCGATGATGTTATATTCATGACTGATCACATATTGTGTACAGCTGGACAGTTTACACAGGAATAAACATTTCAACCTTCTCCCTGATCTCTTAGATTATATTGTGGTACACACTTGTTTACAATCAATTTTCCGAATACCATCTAGATGTAGTTATTCTATATTTCATTATGACGCCTGTAATGGACTTGTCTCTGTCTTGGTATTCTCAGTGATAAATTCTGTGTATTAGCAAGAATTGATATTTTGTCTCTCATGTCATGCCCCTTCTGTTCACTAACGTATCTATAGTTAAATATACTTGTAACATCCCTCTGCTCCGGATGACTTTGACAATTTACCAGTAATACCTTCGGCATATGTAGGCCATAGCTCCGAGCACATTCTACATGCTAACAGTCGTGGAATTATTTGTTGCCAGGTTGAAACACATTAAGGACAAAAGGGGAAGTGGTAAGTTCAACAGCATTCGTAATATAAGTATGACCAACTTGTCATTTTGTAAGTAAAAAACTATTTCTTTATATTATGCTTGTCTGTAGGGGGGTGGGGTGGGGGTGAGTATCTGTGTCGGTGGAACACGAGTTATTGTTAGCATGCCACTGCCAGTGACGAATATTTCTTACTACATACTGTACTAGCATTCAAGGCTTTCGTGGTGACAATAGGTCAACTGACACACTGATATACAATCGGATGCTAAACATAGCAGTTATCATATGCATAACGTAACATTTATCTCAGTGTGACACAATTAATATAACTTGTTTGAGGTGGCATTTTAGAAGTTGAGACGTACAATATAGAACAAGTTTTATGGATAACAACTTCTTTATTTCGTGAGTGCGACGTTTCGATACAGATTCTTGTACCGTTGTCAAGCAAGAGTGATACATGAAGTGTAGGAGCTGCATATATATACTGTATATAACACCATCCCCGCATCAAATTCACCATCGAAACAGAGCAGAACAACCAACTACCTTTCCTTGATGTCCTTGTGTCCCGCACCTCCAGCAACCAACTCCAGACCTCCGTGTACAGAAAACCTACTCCATACGGATCAATACATCCACTACAACTCCAACCACCCCTAAAGTCAAGACCGGCGTCATCTCTACATTGACCAGAAGAGCTAAAAACATCTGCTCTACAAACCTACAGGAAGAAATTGAAACACCTGAGGAAAGTCTTTGTGAACGCAACCACTACCCACCTTGAAATAGTCAATAGAACCATCGAAGCAACGCTTTCACCTCCTGCCAAAAGATCTAAACCAGAATCAGCCCCCATCAAGATAACATCCATTCCCCTACATTGGCAAAACCATCACACCAAATCAGCCGACTCCCTGAACAACAGGCAGGCATAGACACAACCTTCTCAGCGTCCTCCAGCCTCCTGCAACAACCTCCTCCCTCCATGCCAGCGGAAGAAAACAACCCATCGTCAACAACAACAACTTGAAATGTGTTATTTACAAAATAAACTGTGATTGTGGACAATGCTACATAGGTGGAAACATCCCGACCCATCAACACCCGAGTCAAAGAACATCGCACCTCTGTTGCTAATTCCGACACCAAGTCAGCTATCTCTGACCACATCAAAGCTTAACCCCAATCATCAAATAGAGTGGTCCGACATCACCATTCTCGCCAACAACCAAACGGACTTCACCTAAACGCAAGCTCACAGAAGCCATTCACATCAAACGCCACAAGCCCACCATCAACCGCGACCAAGGATACTTCATTCCATCAGCTTATGATCCACTCCTCCACCAAGCCCAATCTATTGTATAAACATCGCATCTATTGTTCAAACATCTCATTGTAACTACATCTCTGGCCTCCATTCACTATCCTTTTGTGTACTCACTGGCTTCTTCAGCTTACTGCTTAGCCAATCATGGCAATTATGTTGTTTTCTTTGTCTATTATGTTGTTGTCTCATTTTTATATACAGTATATATATGCAGCTCCTACACTTCATGTATCACTCTTGCTTGACAACGGTACAAGAATCTGAATCGAAACGTCGCACCTCACGAAATAAAAAAGTTGTTATCCATAAAACTTGTTCTATATTGTACAATTAATATATTTCTATACGAATGGTGTGTTGTATGTAATATAACACACCTTGGCAAATGTTTTAGTACTACGATGTACTGGACAGTTGCTTGTGTATTATGTTATCTATCACCTCCTCTGAGCATTAATGCCTTATGAATGGTTGCACGGTTCAGGCAGCGGATCGTCGGCTGAAAGCACTCCTCTGACCTCCGATGTTAAAGGTAATGTGTAATCCAGTATGTATGTATGTATGTATGTATGTATGTATGTGTGTGTGTGTGTGTGTGTGTGTGTGTGTGTGTGTGTGTGTGTGTGTGTGTGTGTGTGTGTGTGTGGATGGATGGATGGATGGATGGATGGATGGATGGGTGTATGTACGTACGTATAGTATTTGTGCTTGCGTGCTTGCGTGCGTGTGTATGGATGTATGTTTGTGTTGGGGTGGGGGGGGAGGGATATGTCTGTTCAAATTTCCTAACGTATGTTTCATGTTTATCTCCTACGTGTGTAATGTGTATAATTGGAGAATGTAGACATGGCTTATTAACTTTGTCACTGATACATTATCCATATTTCATGGTGTAGCTGCTGATTCTTCAACGCAGACAGAAGTTGCTGTTGCACAACCACAAGCACAATTCCCTGACGGTGGCCACAGTCAGAATGTAAGCAACTGCCGCTATTACCAAATACTCGAGGCGTGTCATTGTTTGAAAAAGCAGTATGAAACCAACACTTGAAATGCTATACAGTTAACAACTGCATTGTAAATATGAAAACATGAATACAAGAGGTACGCATCGCCGTCTAAGACACTCCCACCCCACATCCCTCCACGTGAATCTGTTTCTGATTTTATTTAAAATAGCAAAAGACAAAGTCAGAATCTGAAAAACAAGAGCCAAATTTATTTTTTTTAAAACCCATAATGTACCAAATCCTACTGTGTCTAGATGCAACAGAGGTAACTGTGGAACGTGTCGACATATTGTTGAAGGACACTCTGTAACTTTCACGAGACACGGAGAATTCTACGTAAAACAGAATTTTGACTGTTCTTCCAAAAACATAATATATGTCATAACATGCACAGGCTGTAATGAACAGTATATTGGTCAATCAGAAAATTTCAGAGCTCGGGTTCGTGTCCATAAACAACAAATAAAGTGTCCTGAAATCCGATGTCTGTGCGAAAAGGAAACGATAGTAAATTTACAATATTTCTTTGTCATCAAGTTCAAAATTCGGACCAAGTAAAACGAATTTTAAACTTCATAGAAAAGTTCAAGCCAATGTTCGGACTCCCAAAATCAAATTTGGCCAAGAAGTATAACTTAAGTTTCAGGTATATCGATGATCTAATACAGATGATCCATAACCATCACCTAGCCAACTCCCTTCCATAAAGATACAGAGTGACAAAGAAAAAGCCTCACAAGGCTGTATGACATAAGGGGTGATTTTAACTTACCAAGATCAGCTTTCCCTCCCTTAACGTCGAGCATTATTGTTATATACTTCACAAATTTGAGGTACAGTCGAGCATGCTGTTTTTATCATGATTTAATAGAGCGTCATACGTCTCTTCCTTCAGAAGTTGTTCGATCAAGGTTACAGCAGTTTTTGAGGACTCAGAAGAAATTTCGTAGAAAATTATAATAGCCACGTGAAGGGCATTTCAAAACTTTATGTAGCAGTGACTAACATGATGTCCAATGCCATTCCCCATTTTGACTTGTGCCATACGTTCTCGATTTATTAGGCGAACAAGTGATTAGCCTATAAGTTTATGATTTGTGCTCCCAATTGTGGTAGTATTTCTGTTTGATAATGCTTCATGAACACCACATGTTCTGTTAACGGATTGTCCATTCGTCACCACTCGCCCTAGCTAAGATACATAGCGTTCACTGACATGAACGCAATTGCAGCACCTCCATAGGCCGCAATGGTGGAAATCCTTTGTCGCACTTTCGCGCACTCGTTACGATTTTTGCGCACGAAAAACTTATGTGAATTACTTCTTTGTACTTATACCTACACGTGCGCCCTATTTTCGTTATCAAAATATCCAAAAATATATCTTTACAAGCCATCAAACATCTCAGTCGATCGCTCACATATGAGCGGGGCCATTTTGAATCACGTGACCTGTGACGCGAAGGGGATATCCCTCCCAAAAATAGTAACACACGTGTTCCATACCTCGTTGCTTGTTGACAACACAATGTTCATACATTTTAGGCAATTAAAACGATTGTATGGAGATTTTCGTTTCCAATCTAGACTGACTGACCCACCCTGATTTTTCAACAGCTGTTTTCAAAGGAATTGCTGGTGAGTTTTCAATGCTTCATATGAAATAAGATTATTGCTGTCACCTTCACAGTTCCCATGGGTGTCTCTGTACTACTCCTGAATATTTGCCTACAAAACACAGTTTACTAATTGAATTTAGGACTTAAATAAGTAATGAGTTCACGAATTAATTATCTATAAATTTCATGTATACCCAAAACCTTAAATATTTCTCAGTTCACAACTCTCCTACCTTGTATAATATTTTAAATATTTCCATGTTGTATTAGGTCTCAAGCACCAGCTACAAACCTTGCCAAATCTTTTCATTTCCATATTAGCAACCAAGTGGCCAAAAGTGTTATTTGTCATCATGAATTATAAACAAATACTAAAATAAGGAGATACATCAATAAATCAATTGTTGAGGGGATCATTCAAATTACAGCACAATGCCACATATCATACTTAAACTCTTGTGCGTACACGATTGGAAAGAAGGATTTTATTTGTTGTTGAAGAAACTTCATTTGCAAACATAACAGTACCTCTTATCTTTTGACAGCAAATATAGCAGGTTTCCAAATTATCAATGAAGTGTTAGTTTAGAAAGTCTACTTTTCAAGGTGCAATTAGATGTTTATTGAGAACATTAACAATGATAAGGATATGAAATTGTGCATGAAGTTTATTCTTTTGAAGGTATAAGTTTAAACTCATGTTAAATTAAAGTGATAATTAATAATTAACATTGATATGCACTTTATTTACTGGTATTCAAGGTTGAAAGTTGAGAGAAGAAATCATGGATGACACTGTCTGTGCCCATTGCAAGGGCAAGTTCAAGAGAAAAACAAAGGGATAGAAGAGATATAGTTACAGCTTTGTGTTTGACGACATGTCTATTTTTTGTGAAACTCACTGCTATAACTTATCAAAGCAAGAGTCATCAAAAGATGACAAATCCCCCCAGGCTCCAGAAATTTGAAAGAACAAATCATCTGACAGTTACTGATAGTCCAACTAGATTTTTTTTACTTAGTCCAAATTGTTTCCATGGAAATCATGAAAAATATAAATACTAAAACTTTGCAAATAACAAAAGGCACCACTTCAAGATCTGTCTCATATATCTGCTACGTTTTGTTGAAAGATAATGAAAGGTTTTCGATTTTTGCTCCGGAAAAGAAGCCCACCCCTACTTTTTGAGACTAAGTCCAAATTGTTTCCATGGAACCGAGAAAAATAAAAATGTCAAAAATCTGCAAATAGCCAAGGCACCACTTAAGGTTCTGATTGATATTTATACCAATTTGTGGTGAAAAATATTGAACGGTTTTACAGTTCTGCTCCTGAAAAGAACAATACCACCAATTTCAGTCAAAGTCGAAATTGTTGCCATGAAAAACACACACAAAAATATTTTATACAGAAATCCCAAACTACCAAAAGGCACCAGTAGACCACCAGATCTATCTATGTGCCAAGTTTGGTGAAGAAATAGTGAACGGTTTTGAAGTTCTGCTCCGGAAAAGACGAATGTGCACGGACGGGCGGAGCTCATTTTAATAATTTGACATTTGGCTTTGTGCTGCAATTTGAATGATCCTTCCCCTTTTAACAATTGCTTTCTAGATGTATCCCCTTGTTTTAGTATTTGTTCATAATTCATGATGAAAAACACTGTCCATTGATGTAATCAACATCTAATCTCCTATCCAAGGAGGAAATAAATATGATGATGAAGGTAGGAGAAATGTGAAATGAGAAATATTTAAGGTTATATGGTACAAATGAAATTTATAGATAATTGATTTGTGAACTCGTTAATTATTTAATTCCTAAATTCTAATAAGTCTTATTAGTAAACTGTGTTTTGAAGGCAAATATTCAGGAGTAGTACAGAGACACCCATGGAACTGTGAAGGTGACAGCAATAATCTTATATTATATGAAGCATTGAAAACTCACCAGCAATTCCTTTGAAAACAGCTATTGAAAAAGCAGGGGTGGTCAGTCAGTCTAGATTGGAAACGAAAATCTCCATACAATCGTTTTAATTGCCTAAAATGTATGAAAATGTGTTGTCAACAAGCAACGAGGTATGGAACACGTGTGTTACTATTTTTGGGAGGGATATCCCTTCGCGTCACAGGTCACGTGATTCAAAATGGCCCCGCTCATATGTGAGCGATCGACTGAGATGTTTGATGGCTTGTAAATATATATTTTGGATATTTTGATAACGAAAATAGGGCGCACGTGTAGGTATAAGCACAAATAAGTAATTCATATAAGTTTTTCGTGCGCAAAAATCGTAACGAGTGCGCGAAAGTGCGACAAAGGATTTCCACCATTGCGGCCTATGGAGGTGCTGCATAGCGTTCATGTCAGTGAACGCTATGTATCTTAGCTTAGGTGTGAAAATACGACAAACCAATCAGAATGAGCGTAAATGAGCGCGGTGCTATGATAAAAATAATCCCGAGTACTTAAATCGTTTATGACATTATGTCATTGTTTAAAGAATCATGACAAATATATATCGTCATATTTAAAGTACAAAGAACGTAGCTAAAAGGATTTTGCTGCCTATTGTGAAGTTTTTAATAAGAATCATGCGATTGACGGTGAGAGATTCAAATACACGCACGTGCGTTTGTTGACATAACTGCTCTCATGGTGCAATTGAGTGTATTTCTGACGATCTTGCGGGCTTGTTATGGAGATTGTATGTGCGCTTTGACCAATTTTAGGAAATGTAATTATAATCGCTACGAGTTTCAAAACAATAATATCGTATTTGTATGTTGCTAATCAACCTTAATCTTTAACATTGGCCTTATATGTCATAGCTCTGGGGATATTTTAGTCTGACTGTTTTTGGTCATTCATATTTTTTTCAGCTAATTCATTTGAAATTCAACCAGGGGTGTGACAGCAAGGTTACACGAATGTTCAGTTTGAGAAATATTTTAAAGTCATTTTTGAGTATCTGCTTTGGGATTTAATGTAGCTGAAAAAATATTTTTTTGTATATTCAATATAACAATTCCCATTTGTGATGATTAAACCCTATCAAGAAAATTAACATAATTGACAATATAAGGTGAATATCTGGTAATAATTACATTAGAATATGTCTTTAACAGATATGTTTTTCTTCTTCTTTTAGTTGTATCAAAGAGATTTAATTCTTTAAAATAAATAAGTAAAAAAAACCACCAAAACAACAACCTAGCAATGTACATGTGCTTCGGTGATATTAAGAAACATTGGAATCAAACAGGGATAGAGTTATCGTTCTTGTTTAAAGTAGTTCTGATGTTCATGCGCCAATATGAAATCCTTCCAGAGGGGCACGAGTCGCTATTCGGCTTGTCCCGGAATAACACAAGTGGGTCACGAATGCGGATTGTCTGGTCCAGACTCGATTATTACACACCGGTGGAATGTTCGACATTGTAGAAGTTGGTGGGTCAGTAATAAAGCTAACGACTTTATGGATCAAACTTCTTGTTTATTGCATAGAGCTGGACTATTGTAGCGTGAAACAAACACACACGGGCTCATGATATAGCTGGATTGTACAATCGACTTACTTTTGGATGTTTTGTCGCTTTTAATTAAATAGCTTTAGAAATCAATACGAATTACTGCAAAATATTTATAATGCCAAAATACTGTACAAATGTCAATGTACAAATTCCATGGCAGTACAAATACAACTGGCAATATAATACAACTGGCAATATAATACAAAAGCAGTGATTATAGCAACACAGGCCTTCACGGTAATGTTCACCTGGCAGCAACAGTGATCAGGCTATCAAAATAAGCCTAGGCTGGGAATCAAGGATGAACATCGATCACGAAACTGCTCTTCTTGACGTAATACAAGATGACAGAGCCAAGCGCATGCCCCTAATATAGGTGTAAAATTTCTAGGGTTTTCCCAGCACAAATGTGCACTCTGCTGACTCGTCACAGATACAATATATTACAATTACGATACTGATTCACAACGAATTATGCGGTCATATGAGACTAATTACAGATCAGGTTAAATTGTGGATTGTACAATAGCAGTAAGAAGGCGGGGTAAGAAAAGACAGTTCGTTATATTCACAAGTTCGTTATAGACCTAGCTTACTGTATTAGCAACATGATGATAGAAGGATATTGCACTATTTGATTTTGCACCTGAATACTTTATTGATTAATCCTGATGCACGCACGCACGCACATTGTTTGCTATCATGTTAATGGTATTTTGTTGACTTACAGACCGATTAACCGCCTTGGCGACATCATTGCCAGGAAGAGATGGTCCACGATACTCCGAGCAAATATAATACTGTGGATGATTCAGAGCAAGACATTGACATTCACTAGTGGTTAACACATCACTTGGAGCACTACTCAAGGGCAGACTGCGTTATAAGTATGATTTTCTTTGCCAGAGAATTGCTGTGCGTCTGCAGGCAGTAAGCTTTTCATGTTCTTCTGCATAAAATGTCTCTGAGAATCTGTGGCGACAGATAATCGAGACCATATTTTGGACGTGGTCGTTTTATATCTTTGATAGATTTTATATCAGCTTTAAGAAGTCCAGTGCTAATTGTATCCAATATCTCATTATTTGTGCAATTGGTTGGTTCGTCTTAAGACATCTTTTGTATATAAATTTACATTCTTGTATAATGCTTTTATAATGCAAATACTAGAGATTTAGAAGATAGTTAGTAATATTGCAGCGCATGGTCAAGCACTGCCACCGTGGACAGGGACATGTGATGTTGACTCACACGTCTCCTATAAGTAAACTGTTTTATGTAGGATTTTTGTTGTAATCACTTTGTGATAGTGTTAGTACCCATTATTGAGTGTGTGTATGATCATATCTGTGCTCTAATGAGAGCATATCTCATTACCATTTGTATTGAATAAATTATTTGGTCACCATCTCATGTTATGGACTGGGTATTTGGTCACCACCTCAAGATGGACTATGTCTTTGGTCACCAATTCAAGATGGATGTTTGGTCACCACTTCAAGATGGAATATGTCTTTGGTCACCACTTCAAGACGGAATATGTCTTTGGTCACCACTTCATGATGGAATATGTCTTTGGTCACTACTTCAAAATGGACTATGTATTTGGTCACCACTTCAAGATGGACTATGTCTTTGGTCACCACTTCAAGATGGACTGGGTTTTTCGTCACCGCTTAAAGATGGACTATGTCTTTGGTCACTACTTCAAGATGGACTATGTATTTGGTCACCACTTCAAGATGGACTATGTCTTTGGTCACCACTTCAAGATGGACTGGGTCTTTCGTCACCGCTTAAAGATGGACTATGTCTTTGGTCACTACTTCAAGATGGACTATGTATTTGGTCACCACCTCAAGATGGACTATGTCTTTGGTCACCAATTCAAGATGGATGTTTGGTCACCACTTCAAGATGGAATATGTCTTTGGTCACCACTTCAAGACGGAATATGTCTTTGGTCACCACTTCATGATGGAATGTGTCTTTGGTCACTACTTCAAAATGGACTATGTATTTGGTCACCACTTCAAGATGGACTATGTCTTTGGTCACCACTTCAAGATGGACTGGGTCTTTCGTCACCGCTTAAAGATGGACTATGTCTTTGGTCACTACTTCAAGATGGACTATGTATTTGGTCACCACTTCAAGATGGACTATGTTTTAGGTCAATGTTTGGTATATGAGTCAAGATGAGCCGGGCAAATCAATAGTTGGTGCACTTAGCAATAACAAAACTTCTCCTAAACCAGCACGTTTCCAGGGAGTTCGGTTCATCAAACCTACTTCATTTAAAAGAATCGTCCATGATCTGACGTGTTGTAGCTGTGATGTCTTGAGTAAATGTAACAGCCTCCACTGCGGTTGCCATCTTATTTGGGTCGACCTTCTGTTTAGTTGGGGACCCATTTGAATGACAATACTGTTCTCAGTCCCATCAGGGGCATCAGAATTAGAACGAGGTCGATCCTCCAGAAACCTGTCTGCACAGGAGACATTTTGTAATGGTGTTATATACCCTTGTGGACATCCAGGAATCTCCTGAACTTCAGAGTCTGTGGGCAAGGTGTAGTCATCCTCGACAAAAGCAGAACCTTCATGGTTAGGTGGGGCATTCTAGGCCTTGACGAGAGCAATGCTTTCAGTTTGGCATGGTCAGTATTCACATCGTCATCCGTGATCTCATCGTAAATGTCCCCAGATTGCTCCGCCATTTCTTCCCTGGAGTGCCTCACTTCTAAGTAACCAATAGCTGCTTCTACTGGGACCAGTCTGCTTCCCTGGAGCTTCCTTAAACAATAAAATGCATTTACAATCTGTGACAAGGAATAAACTTGTCAGAGGGGTGGCAAATTCGTGATCATTTGTCGGACCCATTTTGTGGATACCTCGATGGCCAAGTGAGTTAGATTGCTCGCTGGTGATTAGGAACCTCACTCTGAGAGTGTTCGTTCGAATCCTAAACTGGACTTAACTCTAAAATGTACTAGTACCTGCACTTTACTGAGAGAAGATAATTCCATAAATATATTTCTATAATTACATAAACCTACAGGAATATCAAGGATAAACAGTTCAAGTGAGTGAGAAGGTGGTAGAATATGTTAAATGATAGGGAAAGAGGCATCCCTGAAACAGTGTGTATGTATCCTGAAGAAGTTGTTATAGATTGTCATAATTATATCACATTTTAATAAATGCCAATAAGCCATCTGAATTTAACACTGATTGCTGAATTAACAAAAAAATCATTTCAAACCCAACAGTCAAATACTGTTCAATTTCTGAAACGTGATATTTGGAGTAAAATTTGAACAGAAGTTGTGGAAAGGTTAATATTTAATTTTGTAAGTGAATCACAAAAAATGAATATGGCTTACAGCAATTTCCTTAAGACCTTGTCATCTCATAGATAGTAATATTTGAAAATAGAAATGAACCCTTATATCATGACATGTATTATTTCTCCCTATGATTGTATTACCTTAGCGGCATGTAGACACACATTTAGCCCGGAGAACGTATCAAGATGCTGCAAACCTGCATCTCCAGAAGATGAAACCAGACAGGGCTATTAGCAAGGCAAGAGCACTGGCCAGGAATGGAAGAAACATCAAATTAAACCACTGAACTATTTTTTAGTATATCTGTCCATATATAGACAGATAATACAAAATGTTTGACAAATGCAGAATAATTTTAGCATAATGGGAGCGTGCTGCATTCTATTCGTGGTAATAAAGCTTTGTTTCATACGACTGAAAACACGGATATATTTCAAAGTTTCCAACACGTATGAAAACTTCTCTTCAAGCGGAACAAGTTTATCGATTGACAACTTCTTCATTGCAATAGATGCGACGTTTCGGTTTAGATGCTGACACCATTATCAAAACATGATTATGCATAAGGAGAATATGTACATGAAGGATATTTGAGTTTATTCATTTGAAGAGGTTGATGTATAGGGTGATCACATTGCTGATAGTTGGTGTGTTTATAGACAATGGCATAAATCAAAGTTATTACATCCCTACAGCTTACTATGATCTAATAAAAGCTTATCCACAATAGCTCTTTCCTAACCTGTTGTTCATCTGTAGCCGTTATCTACAAACACACCAACTCTTCATCACAACAGTTCTTAAATGCCACGAAAGACAAAAGACCTTTCTTGAGGCGTATTTTTTCTCAATCTCGAATTAAGATAACGACAACGCACCAGCAGTTTGTTAATACGGATGACATAGTGATACCGTATTTCTGAAGCAGAACAACATGGTTTTAATCCACGGACGGACGCTCAGTTGAAACAGAAGCGTATGATGTTAGTCATCATGACGCATTGACACTCCAGGGTGACGTCAAGCATGCATCATAACTGTAACGGTCACTTTCATGGTCATGGTATCTCCTAAGTGAAACATAAATAAGACTTACCATTATTCCTGATCAGTTCAGAGATGTGATCAAAGACGTCATTGTCTGAACCCGTTTTCTCAGATGTGATGTCGCACCTTTCTCCAGTAATACCGTCTCTACATTCCACTGTACAGTTACCATAAGACAGGCAAGGTACAGACGTACACGTGAGGCATATCCTTGTGCAGTTACTACCACGAAACGACCCCATACAGTTATCACAATCTATGGTCGTGTTACACTGAAGACAGCTCCCATGACAGGTGTGCAGACACTGGCGCCCATAATACCCTTCCCTGCACCCTTGCAGACATTCTCCATCTTCCCTACCACATGTGAGGCAATTTGTATCTGATTGCTCACAGACTTGGCAATTATGTGGACATGTTTGATTGCACATTAGGCCATAGAAACCATGCAGGCAGCCCAGAGCACATGTTCCATTCTCTTCTAGGCAAGGCTTGCATGTTCCGTTTGATTCTGGACACTGCATACAGTTCTGTGGACATGACTGATCACATGCAACGCCATAGAACCCTTGATCACATCCTGTGGTGCATCTCCGATCCAGGCACACCTGACACTCTCTACTGGAACTGTTACACTGGCCACAGTCATCTGGACACATGGCGTCACAGGATCCCCCAAAGTATCCTTCCTTACAACCACTGATGCATTGTCCTGTCTGATGCTCACAGGGACTGTCTACTACTGCATCCTTACAGTGTTGAGCACACGCATTGCTACAATGAGTTCCCAGAATCCAGTGGCACACCCATCTTGACAAGTTCCATCGATGGAGCAGTTTCCGCCGTTACAATTCACACAGAGATCCTCGCATCTGACTCCAAATCGACCAGGGTCACATTTCGAACACTCACGAGTATTACTGATTGAGCAAGCAATGTACCTGTCGAGACAGTGTTGCTGACAGCAGCTTCCCGACCATCCATCAATACACCCCAGCAGGCATCTTGGGATGCTGGTTGTATTCTCGTAACTGAATTTGCAGTTCGCAGGGTCCCTACACGCTGAAAGTAGTACAGAAAGAAAGAAGCAGGATGTGTATCCCCGCCAAAACGCACATACAGCGATCCATCTAAAGTAATAATATCAAAATGAAGGGATGATAAAATTTCGTTTTCAATTAACACATTCTTGGCAACAAAGTAAGACCTAAATTGTTCATTGCAAACATAAAACGTGAAGAATACGGAGCTAAGAGATGCATTGTGAATATCTCGAAGACTTGTGAATATCTCGATGACATGTGAATGTGAAGACTCATGTAATTCAGAAGGTTCGCTGTAACTACGTGTTACTACATGCAACTGTCATATGACGGTCGGACGGCACTTCGAAAAAAATAACAGACTGAGCATGATTGTGCGTGTTCATGAATAATACATTCTTCTTTACAGTTGCCAGTATTTGTGTTTGGAATATGCACAATTCTGATGTGCCATTTTTGCTTTTACAGATACAGTTTTTTTCAATCAGTGTTCTAACTTTATAATAAGAAAAAGAACAGTTGCGTCAAAATGAAATCTTACATAAGGGTCTCTCAGTTAGCCTCTATATATTCAGCATCCTTCAATCACATATTTAAAAAGCACATATATTTGAAGAAAACATAATTTTCTTAAAAAGAATAGTGATACGTACCAAAGGTAAGTAAGATGATGTGAAAAATGATTGCAATAACTGTAGTTTGCC